AACCCCACCAACGGCGGGGACTCCGCGGTTGGCAGCAGCAGCCCGCACAGCTGGAGAAGCCGGGGGCTCGGTCCCCGGACAGGTGAGGTGCTGGGTGCGCGTCCCCACACCCGGACGGCCCCCAGGAGGGCGGGGGCAAGGGCTGGGGGGGCCGGGGTGGGGGGCAGGCCTGGGCGGATGTTTGCAGGCCGCCCCCGGGTGGGGAGGGCGGACAGGGAGCGCGCAGGCTGGCGCAGGGCAGCGGCTTGTGTCCAGAACCGCCTCCCGGAAGTGCCGCCGAGGCCCCGAGCACGCTCCTCACACGCACCGCACGCATGCACGGCTCCGGTCCGCGGACGCAGCTGCAATGACCCCGGGGCTCTGCTCACGCAGGCTCTCAGGTGAACCGGGTGGAGGCAGGGCCGGGGAAAAACTCGCAACATTTATTTAGACTGAGATAATCAAACCGTGGGAATTCTTCTCTCCGTTTTTCAAACTGCAGGATTTTGCTTTGTATCTTTCTGTTCTAGATTTCAGTTTTCCTCCAAAATTGAAAGCAAACAAGCAAGCAGAAGAGCACAGCAGGCCCCCCGTGCCGCTGGGGCACACGCGCATCCAGCACGGCAGATGTGCATGGTGCCCCCCCGTGCCCGCGCCCCCCTGCGTCTGCGGCCGGATGGGGCCGATCCTGCAGCACCGCCTCCCGCCTGAGCCAGGCTGGGCGAGTCCAGGTGACGACGGCACCAGAGGAGGGTGGTCTGTGTCCGGCCATCCCCGACTGGCACTTCAGCAGGATCCTTGACTGTCCCATGGCGAGCCCAGAGGCCCCAGCCTCACACACACACACACACACACACACACGCTCATGCACACGCGGGGCAGCAAGTGTGAAGTATTACCACGAGGCCGTGGTTCCCAGGGGGACCTGCTGGGTAAGGTATCTATCACCTCGGTGCCAGTAAGGGAGACTTTCGGGCGCTTTCCCAGGGTCACTCAGGGGGCTCTCCTATGCCTCATATTTGCATTTACCTCCCCAGATGCATTTTCTCTCATCGAAACCAAACAACAGGACACGAAACATGCCTGGGGGGCAGAGAAGCTTCTGGCACCAGCTAGCCTCAAGCAGCTCCTGCTCCAAAATTCAAGATAGCGCAGCGGCCAGGCACCCTCTAAGATGTGGAAATCCACGGCGAGCGCCACACCTCACTTTCTGTCTTAGTTCTCTAGAGTTTTGGCAGTTTCTTCAAGGGTCCAGAATTTTCTTTTAAAAACTGCACCTTTGTTACAGAGCCTCAAAACACACCCTCCAGCCTAACTGACCAACACGTGTGTTAGGGGCACAGGCCGGCAGGGTGATCCATGGTGCCTGCACCTTGTACCGAGGAACATGCCGGAGCCTCCCGGGCCGCAGCTCCCAGCCTTGGGGTGGGCGCCCTGTCCCCTTTGGGTCACTGATGCAGGCTCTTCCCAGCAGCACAGAGCAGAGGGGGGTCTTGGCCCATAATTTACAAGCTGGGGGTCCTGAGGGCGCTCGAGCCTCGAGGACCCCCGTCCCTCCTCGTGAGGCGGACGTGCTCGGGGCGGCAAGGGCACTCGGCCGCTGTGCCGGGTACACGCGTGACGGGCGGCAGCCCCCCTGCTGCAGCCCACGCGGTTCACAGCGCTGAATACGCGCGTCCTGTCCTCATTCAAGCCCCGCTTTCCCCACTTTGCGCCCGGATGACGGAGGCGTTATTCTCCAAGCCCTTCTCCCAGTCAAGGCTGCTGAGCGTCTACGCTGTGCGGTGCTGAGGGAGCCCCCCTCCAGCTCTAGAAGCTAACACCCAACACGTTCGGTACGACGTCTCTCTTCCGCAATAAACACGCATCGTTTTTAGAATCAGAGAGAAACGTCTATTACTCCAAATAAATGACAACGATTCACAAGTGCGTGTCTTATGAGTCTTCCACGTCCCCTGTAACCCAGGCACCTGCTCAGGTGGGTGTGTGATCCCGGGGCATTTCTCGCTCCCCGAGATGCTCGCCTCTCCCCCGCTCACTGGGCTGATGCCGTGGCTTCCGCAGGACTCCCGCCCGGCCACTGGGCCTGCGCCTCAAGTCCCCACCCGGGGAGGGGAACAGGTGCAGCCGCGTCCATGACCGAGCTACTCCCCGGAACGGGATGCTGGACCTGCAGTAACAGTAAGGAGACCTGTCGTACCCGAGTGGCACGGCGGGCAGGCGGGCAGGCGGGCAGGCGGCTGTACGGTCTCTCTTTCGTGATGCAACTATTTCACAATTACGGATTTTAAATCAAGAGAAAGGAAACAAAAAGAGGGAAAGGCTTGTTTACATAGAAGAAGTGATGTTGGGGGGCGGGGGGGAAGTGAAGAAACCAGAATCAACCCAAAGTAAATAGCATTTTGGCTTTTTCCTTCTACAATGGACTCTTCGAGCGTGAGAGGTCATTCGTGCCTGAATTACTCCACGCCTCAATCCCAGATGGCACAGAAACGAAAGACAGGAACAGTGCTCCTCTATCGGAAGTGAGACTCTAGAAGGGGTCGGGGCATCTAAAGGCAGCCAGGACGAGGGAGCACCGGGCCGAGGACGCCGCCATTCCCAGCAGCGGGGAGCGCCGTCTGAGCCAGTCCCCGAGGAGCACAGGCCCCCACGCGGGCCGCGGAGTCATCCCTGCAGATGACAGACGTGTGTCGGTTTGTTTTCACGCTGCCGAGCGGCACAAGGGTGCTTCAGATTAAGCTCGATGGTTAGGAAATCCGCCAGGGTCAACTGGGGTTGACAGGGACGTCATGGGAGAATGTCTCTGCTCCTGGGCCGTGACAACATGGCTGTCAAGAAGTCTTCATATTAACTTCCAGATCCTACTTTCCGGCGGAACGTAGTTGGCGGGGGTTGGAATGCCGAGCACGGAGGGGCGAAGAAGGAAGGCCCTTCGCTTCAGCAGCTTCGGAAGCACACCTCGGCGTGCAAGCTGGGCGAGCGGCGTCACGCGCCTCCGCCCTCGCAGGCTGCCCGTGGGCACGGCGTCTACGCTGCAAACACCGACCACCAGTGACGCAAAGAACCACAGCGCAACAGCTGAAAACACAGCACATCCGACTCTGGCTAATGGAAGCTGGCTACCAGGAAGTTAAGGGACCTGCTTGAATTTCACGGGGGCACGCTCCCCACGACACCACTCCTCAGGCTGGGTGGGCCCCCGCAAAGGAGAAGAGGTGAGAGGGCCCGTGGGGACTGTCCGGGACCCTCACAGCTATGTCACACGCCGTCCTCAGCCTCTGTCAACGGGACGTGAAGAGATGACATCCCCGCAGGAGCTACCAAAAATCAGACATATTTTTGATCCTTCTAAGAATCCTGCATCATTATCCCCAAGTCCGGAATGAGTGATCAGCCTGAGGTCATGGCCAGTGGGTCAGCAGGTCCCCAGGTCCCCTCAGGACGAATCCGAAGCCCACGGGCTGTGTCACACTAAGCCAGAGGAGTCGCACAGCAGGTCTCAACGGGCAGGGTGCCCTCCCCAACCCAGAAATTCACCTGGAGCGCACCTCTTTCTGGTCCACGTGGAAACAACACGTCCTTACCGCCTTCCCAGCCCAGCGGACCGTCCCCAAAGCCTCTTCCTCTGCCCCACACCTGGGGGAGCCCTAGGAACCTGCCTTAAGACCCGCGACCACACAAGGGCTCCGTGTTTCAGCACCAGGAACACGGGCAAGCGGAACCCGGAGCCAGTGACAGCCCAGTTCACTCTGCACGGGCTGAAATCAAAACCTGAGCATCTCCTGCTGTTTTGAAGCCTCCCTCCTGGGAGCTGGGTCAAAAGTAAAGGCGAGGGGAGAGGTCAGGAACCAGAAGACGGAGTGGGCTGGGGGCATCGCGGCGGGTGCCCAGGTGAGCGCTGGCCCCGGGGACACAGGGCGCCAGGGCACCGTCCAGGGCCACCGGCAGAGCAGCGACAGGAGCTTTGTGTACAGGGAGATGCCAGGAACGGCCCTCGGCAGACCACGGAGAATCACCGTGCAAACAGGGACATCCCCTCTTCGACAGGTCCAGCCTCCACTTAAGGGGCAATGGGGAGGTTTGATGGGGGCCGGGGCAGAGCCCGGGGCCCGCCACCTCCCCACCCCGGCCGCCGCTGCCCACAGAGTGGGAGATCAGGGTGGCACCCAGGAAGGCTGGGGCCCAGGGGGTGCTGCCAAGCCAGGACCGCCAAGACCGAGGCCTGGGCACGTGCGAAGGCAAGGGTCCTGCAGGGGGCTCTTGAGATGCCGGCTGGGGAGTGCAGAGCACCCTCACACCCAGGCCTCCAGGAGGTGCTCTGCTCTCAATGAGGCCGAGCGGCCTGCACAGGACAAACGGTGCCCAGCTCCTGGGCTGAAATCCTGGAGGACACTAGATGGGGCCGGGGCGGGAGGGCTTTTACAGAAAAAGAATGTTTCCACGGCCACCCAGATTTGGAAAACGTTGCTTAAAGCACGATATTTAGAAAGATGATACACATGGAACGAAAGACATAATCATGGCTGCTGTTCTTTTGTTGATGGGAAAAGAAAAAAAAAAAAAAAAACAGCAAAAGGCGCTTCCGAGACCATGTCACCGGCCGGCTCCAGCAGCGAGAGGCCCGGGCCGAGGGCAAGGCGCGGCCTGCCACCGTCCTGTGGCTGCCAGCAGCCCGACCGCGCCAGGCAGGGAAGCTCTGGCCCCCGCTCAAGCCCAGAGCTCTTTCCCACAGATCCTCCTGCGGACCGGGTCTGGGGTTACACCTCAAACAAGCAGTTGGCACCTCTGGGAGGAACACACCCTTCCGAGCCCAAGACAGAGAAGATCCGCATTCTCTGCCACTTAAATAGCATCAAGCCGATGATGCCCGCTTCGCTTCCACGACGCACGGCCTCTCTTACCCCAGGAGCCCGCGGATCCGACGGCCCACCCTGCTCCCCGCAGACCCCCGTGCGGTGGGGCCTCCGCACGCCCCGAGGGGGGAGCCCGCGCCCGCCAGGCTGGGCGTGCTGACTTACCCGTGCTGGGCATGTGGTTCACGCGGGCAGGGTTTAGCAGCTCCACGGGCTGGTCTCGGCCAGAAAGTCCATCTGGAGGACAGAGAAAGCATTTGGCTTCAGAAACTGCTCTCATTTCAACGAAAACACTTTACACTCCGAGTCTGCAAGGAGACTCCTCGCAAACAATGGAAACGCGTGTGTCCTTCTTACTTTGAAAAGGAGGACAGGTTTGATTCCATCACACCTTATTTTTATTTGCTGAATCAGAAAACATGAAGAACCCTTCTCGGAATGACCAGAACGGCCCCCTGGGGGGAAGGATGGGCCGACGAGAGCTCGGGGCCTGCGGACCTCCGTCCCGCCTGGCCGTGCGGCAGCCACGTTGCCCCCACTCGCGTGGACCCGAACGGCTCTCCTGCGGGGGCCCGAGCAGGAGGTGACAAGGACGCACACGGGAGCCCCTCCCCTTCCTCCCAGACGCTGACACAGGCCGGAGGTGCTAACAGCAACCCGGGCCTTGAGGCCCGGCCGAAATCAGCTGCGGGGGTGCTCGGGGCGGGGGCGGGCGGTGCTCAAGGAACCGAGGACACCCGAACTCACTCTCCGACAAACGCTTGGCCGGGAACCCACAATCTAAAGACTCGTGTCTTTAAACCCACTTTCCGACCGGATTCAGGGACGGCTTCTATCTCCCCAGGCTGAGTGCAAAGACGGAGCTGGAAGCCGGCCACCACCTAAACCCAGAGCAGGCTGCTTTTAGACTGCCTGAGATTTTCCATATTCTCTCAGATAGAAAAGAAAGAAAACTCTGGCAAAACTTCCAGGAATCACACTTTTGGTTTAAAATTAGCTCCTGACAAGTGGTGTAAACCGGCCTGCAGTGACAGGCACGTCATTATAGACGCTGACGTGGCGGTCACTCTGCGCTCCCGCTACGGGCGAGAGGAGAAGGCTGGTCTCACGGAGCAGCCAGGAGCTCCCCGAGGCAGACTTTCAAATCACGACAAGGCAAATGACATCGGATCCACCGACTGTACGAAAACCTCGCTTTTTACCCAAAATGGATAACACCTTGCACACCCTGCACATTTAGTTACACAACCCCCATGTGTCTCTGAAAATGTTCAAAATCCAAGGACGAAAATAACAACCCCGAGGAGATCCAAAAGTGTGCTCTTGAGATCTGAAGACCGTCCCCCACCGCTCCGCCAAGGAAGCGAGGGAAAGGCGTGGGAGGCCTTCTAAGGGGCCCTCCGCACCCCGCAGTAGGGAGAGCCCACCATGGGGCGCCTGGGACTTCTCTCCCCAGACCAGCAACCCCTCCCTGACTCCAGAGACGTATCGGAACAGTTACCGGCAGTCACCAGGCACCGTGGGGCGGAGACAGTGCAGGCTCCCAGGCCCCAACGCTCAACCCCAGCTACTTGCACGAGGGCTTCTCTCACGGACCAGGGCCACCCCTGACAGCCCAGGTGCTGACCTGCATGCCTAATGCTATGACCTACGACCGCCTTCACTGCCATTCACAGGCAGGCTGTGAGACCTGATGGGAATCTTTTTTTCTGAAAATAAATTACTGAAATTTATTTTGTTTATGAATACAGTGAAAACTTCATTTTTAAAAATGCAAAATTCATAGAAGTATATATATATATCTATATATATATAGATATATATATATGTTTTTTAAAAATTTGAGTTCCACTGTAAATACTTTCAAAAACACCAGAAGGCCCCTCTAAAAATCCTAATCCAGCTGCAAGTCTCCAACAGGTGAGGGTCAGGAGCAAGGTGCTGGGAAAACCAGCCCATTCAGGACTCTGCAAGTAGGTTCAGAGGAGGACCTCAGCTCCCAGCTGAGCGAAGGCTCCAGAACCAGAAACAGTTTAGAAACCACAAAGCCAGCGCTCGTACAACGAGGAGACTCCAAATTGTAGGAGCAATTAGTAGCAGCACCAGGCCAGCATCCCGCCTTATATAAAGACCTTTCCTTGAATTTAGAATCAAGCTGTTTATGTCTGCCCCAAGCCCCAAAGGTCGAATTACTCCAAAGCCAGATGCATAAATGATGCATAATAACAGGTTACTTTTATCCACACTGTGCGGAGGAGATGCATCAAATCTCAACGCAATCAATTCAGAGTGTAAGTTAAAAGATATGTGGTTATTAGCGTATCCCAAAGTATCGCCCGGGTGTCTTAAATCAAGGTACGGCTTCGCTGAGTCGGCTCATCCTGAGTTTCTGGACGCTGGATGGGGCATGTCCCGCTGAGCTGCCGGCTAGAAACCAATCACATGCATGTGCCAGCTGGCCCACCAGCACGCGGTGCCGTCTGACCTGGGCATGCTCTTGTCCTGCTGTCTAGAAAGGCTGGGCCCCGGGACCCGGAGAGTGGAGGAGGGCACGGCCTATGGCTGTGATAGGTTTTCATCACCTTCTTCCCCTTGAGTCCATAGGGTCTGCTCTGGAACCCACTGAGAAGGCCGAGCAGGTGCCAGAAACACGTGCCAGGAGAAGCAGGCCGCCCGCCACAGGGAGCCCCCACGCCGCCCCCCGCAAGGAGCCCGCCCAGCCCGCGCTTGCACAATGTGGATCCTGAAGCAATTTCTATGACAATTGCTACATCATCTTCAACACACAAAACACAGAAAAACTTCACTGAATAAAAAAAGTCCAACCCCTTCCCTGATGCACATAATTAAAGCGGATCCGTACTTTGATGCTGCGCAAAAATTCGTATTTTTTTGCACCAATAAAGATACATGAAAAATCCACCTACAGGTTACCTAATGAGAGGTGGGGAGGAGAGGTAAGAGGTGAGGGCAGGAGTGGGGGCAGGGAGGGGGGAGGGGAGAGGAAGAGAGGGCAGGGGAGAGAAGGGAAGTGGAGAGGAGAGGAGAGGAAGGGAGGGGAAGGGCCTGCACACAGGACCGGGACACACACCACACGCCTGCGTGGTGGGGGACCAGCGAGGGTCCCACTAAGGTCATCTGCCCTTCCCGGTGGGCCCAGGACACTGAACATCTTTCCACGCGCCTCCTGGATGCTCTCAAATCATGCCTTGTGCCCTTTCTAAAAAACAAAAACAAAAACAAAAACACTGGGTTGTCTTTTTTCCTCACTGATTCAGGGGAACGCTTTACAAATCCTGACCGTGAATTCTCGGGCAGTTACATGCCGCAGACATCGTCTCGGAGTCGGCCTTTCTTTACGGTCACATGCATCGATCCTTCTACGGCGTATGCTTCCCTACCTGGAGGCTGCAAAGGCATTGTACCATCCCGTCACCTGCACGTCCCGTGGCGCTCCCTCTCACGCGTGCCTCACATCTCTCTGGTCTTGACTTCTATACACCGAGTAAGGAAGGGTTCTTTGGTTTGGGTTTTGTTTTTCTTTGTTTTTTTGTTTTTTTTCAATGAAAACAGCCAAATGTCTCACCGACTATTAAGACGCCTTACTTTCCCGGCTCATCAGCACACTGGTTCTATCAGACACCCAATGTCTGTCCTATTGGCCAATCTGCTTATACCTGTGCCAATAATCACACCGTTAACTCCTAACATCCGGCAAGAGTCCTTACTCTCTTCTTCAGACCCACCCTGGGTTGATGTGGGTGGGCCCTTTGCCACATAAATTTTAGCATCAGCTTTTCTTCCAAAAGACAGGCAAAAAAAGAAGAAAAAAAAAAAAAGGAGAAGGGGAGAGGTGGGAAGGGGTTGGGATGGGACTAACTCGCTCTGCCTGCGACCACACAGTACCTAGAGATTGGGAAGAACAGAATCTCAGCAAATTACATCTTCTCATCTGTGAACATGGGATATCACTTCACTTCATTTCTGTCAAAGACGTTTTAGAGTCCTGAGTGCAGAGGAACTGAAAATCTTTAGATTTATTCCTAGGTGTTTGCTGTTTCAAGTAAAATATTCTACACAGCACTATGAATTTAAATTTCTACTCGTTGGTCGGCAGACGGGCAATAAACCACCACATGTTGGTTTTAGATCCCAGCATCTCGCTCCTCTCATCCCTGTCGATCCTTTATCTGCAGTAAACGTGATTTTCCACGTGCAGGATCATGTGCCTACGACAGTGACAGTTTGGTTTCCCTTTTTTTTCTTTTTCTTGCCTTATCCTGTTGGCCGGGAGCGATGCTACATCTGCACAGAAATACTGAGAAACACTCTCGCTGTTTCTGATCTCACCCCTTCCTCCTCCTTGCATTTCCCGAACCTCCCCAAACCGAGGGCTCTCAGCAACACAAGTGGGGATGCCAGCAAGCTCTCATGAATGCAGAAGAACCGGATACATTACTCTCCTCGGCTGTGCTAAGAGGGGCTTGTCTGGTGTAGGTGGGAACGTGCCACCCGCACCCCCGGGGGCAAGTGCCCCTCACCCCCCTGAGCAGCTGGTGGTCACACACATAGTCATGGGGTCCGAGGGCTCTGGCAGCAGAAATCATGCAATGTCTTCATTCCAGCCAATTTTCCTACCCGTTTTTATTTTGTCATACGAACTTTTTATTTTAGAACAGTTGCGGATTCACAGAAAAATCAAAGAGCAGACAGCGTTCTCACACACCCGCTTCCCCCACGACGATGGCGTGTCTGAGCTCCAGTGACCTGAAGCCCCACGCGGACTCGGGTTCCTGGGCTTTCCCCGCCAGCCTCCCACCCAGGATCCCACACGACCCCGAGCTGTCACGGCTCCTTAGGCTCCTCCGACTGCCCTTGTTTTTGATGACGGTGACCATGTGCAGGAGTACGGGTCATGCATTCTGCTGACGGTTCCCATCATGTGACATCACGTGCTACCAACGTGACACCTCACCCGGGTCAGTCAGCGGCCTCGGTCCCCTGGGCAGCGTGGGTCGGTCAGGACTCCCTGCTATAAAGGCACTTGATTCCCCGTCCCTAGAATGTTCTCTGACATAAAGCCCCTCTCCGTCGCCCGCGCTGCTGAGAACGGTATCGGCTGCCCTTCTGCATCCACTGCCCAGGATCAGCGTGAGGGACAGGCTCCCGGGGACACAGCGAGGAACACCAGGCTTGGACGGCCGCCTGGCCTCTGGGTCCCGAAGGAGGAGGCAGGG